CACAACAATTAGCAATGTTAAGATCTCAAATATCTGCTGTTAAACTGGACCAGTGAAATAAAAAACACAATACCTAGCCCATGGTATTCCCACTAGTAATCAGGAAATTAACAATTTCTTTAAAAATGGTATTTGTTAATTTTCAGCCAGATTTGTTTTTATTTGCTCTTCCAGAGGCCAGAGATGGAGACTCACTCAGACTAGCTGGAACTGGAGAAAAATGGAGTCAGGGAAATGATTACTATCTGGGATACAAAAAGAATAATCAGAAAGACAAAAAATAATCAAAAGTAACCATTTAGTGACCACTTTATACATCAGCCACTATGTTAAGTGTCCTACACAGATTATCCCATTTAATTTCATGAGTTAACATCACCATTCCTACTTTATGGATATAGCAACTGTTATCTCTATTTTACAGACACGGAAACTGAGGCTCGGGAACACACAACTAACATTTACTGTCACTACAACCAACCCCAGAACTAATATTTTCCATGTTTACAGATGAGGAAACCAAATCTTAGGGGAGGTTTAGACACCCTGTCCACATTCACACGCTTCATAACTAGAAGAGCAGGGTCTGAGGCGACTTCATCTGACACCAAAGTTTAGACTCTGAAATCCGACCATACAATCGCATTAAAACCCTTTTACATTACTTCATACCTACTAGGATGGCTATTATCAAAGGACAGATAATAACAGGTACTGGCGAGGATGTGGAAAAACTGGAACCCTTCTCATACACAGCTGGTGGGAATGTGAAATGGTACAGCAGTGTTACCATATGGCCCAGCAATTCCACTCCCAGGTATACAGCCAAGGTAAATGAAAACTATGTCCACACAAAAACAGGTACATGAATGTTCACAGCAGCATTATCCAGAACAGCCAAAAAGTAGAATAACCCAAATGCCCATCAACTGGTAAATGGATAAATACAATGCAGTATATCTGTAGAATGGAATATTACCCAGTAATAAAAATGAAGTATTTTTTTTGATGAACATTGAAAATATTATGCTAAGTGAAAGAAGCCAGATCACATATTGTATGATTCCATTTATGTAAAATGACCAGAATCAGCAAACACAGAGACAGAAAGTAGATTCTGGTTGTCTACAGTTGGTGGGGTTGAGAGGAAATGGGGTGATGAAAATGTTCTGAAACTGATTGTAGTGATGGTTACACAACTGTGAATACACTAAAAGCCACTGAACTATATGCTTTAAATGAGTGACCTGTATGCTACGTGAATTATATCGAATAAAACTGGGGTGTATTTTTTTTAAGTTTTTACAACTTTAGCCTTTTACCTAATTTTTACTAGTCTTCATTTCACAATGGGAAAAAATGCTTTGTTTAAATTTAAAATCAGGAATCCAAGCACTTTCATGCTCACATCCAAAATAATGTTAACTTCTTAGAAACGTTTAAACAAATTAAACCCTTTTAACTGATAGCTTCGCAGAATTACACGGTTCTTTACTGAAATTTCAAAATACCTTATAATGTGCTAGTGAATGCACTGGTTGGTGCATTAGCTCCATTTTCTTCTTTTCCATTCTAGCTATGCAGTTCTACAGAGTCATTACAGTGTACTATGGCCAGGAAATACAAATGAAGTAATGTCTCTGCTGGGGACAGTTTCAACTCTAAAGAGTTTGAACATATTAAAAAATCAGACATGCATGAAACGCTAAACTGATCAATGGCCATCACAAATCTGCACACATCAAATTTTCAGTATGCTAAAGACTTATAACCTGAAGAAAGACTTAGAGTTTGGAGAGCCTTCTCTTTTACATGTGTGCCCTGTTCTAAGTGTGGTCCATGGACCAGCAGCATCAGCATCTTCTGGGAGCTTGTTAGAAATGCATATTCTGCAGGGCGCAGTGGCTCAAGCCTGGTAGGCTGAGGTGGGTTTATTGCTTGAGCTCAGGAGTTTGAGACCAGCCTGGGCAACATGGTGAAACTCCATCTCTACAAAAATTAGCCAGGCATAGTGGCATGTGCCTCTAGTCCCAGCTATTCAGGAGGATGAGGCAGGAAAATCACTTGAGCCCAGGAGGCAAAGGTTGCAGTAGCTGACATCACACCACTGCACTCTAGCCTGGGTGACAAAGTGAGACCCTGTCTCAAAAAAAAAGAAAGAAATGTGCATTCTAAGGCCCCACCCTAGACCTACTCAACCACAGTCATCATTTTAACAAGATCCCTAGGGGATGGGTCTGCACCTTAAAATTTGAGGAGCACTGTCCTAAGACTTTTTTTTTTTTTAAAGACAGCTCTGGCTTACACTAGACTAATATTTTTAAAGTCTGACATACATACAGTTCTGGTCCTGGGCCAGCTGGTCCTCAGATCCATTCTTTGTCCTTCTGCTTCAGTCCAAGTTGTGGAGGGGGTGACCCTGGCAAGGCCGGGGTTTCCAGGCAGCAGGGGAACAGTACATCTGCAGCAGCAGCCGTGCCCTTGCAAGGCTTCAGCCACTGCCAGATGGACCCCCTGTGACCCCAGTTTTTGGTGGGTGACAGCTGTCCCTGGAATCTGAAATGCCATCTCCTTCCTTCACCCTCCAGCTTAGAGGTGGCAGTGGTTTCCTGCTTGCTGCCTCATCTCCGGCTTGCCTCACTGCAGCTGCATTTTCAGTTCTTCCACCACCTGTGTGACCACTCCCCTACGTTACATTCCTTCTGTTCTAAATACTTAAAGTTCTGGTTTTTTTTTTTTTTTTTTTAGAGTCTTGCTCTGTCACCAGGTGCCAGGCTGGAGTTTTCTATTATGTACCATAGATACCAGAAAAATTTTGTGAATGACTTATCTGCTGGGAAAAAAAAATGGAGCTATTGCACAGTCAACCTCGCATTCCCACATTCTGACAATCTCTTAACAACTCAAAAGAAAAATCAGCCTTAAGCTATCTGTACAGCAGATGTGACTGTATTCAGAAGCTCTAAGTCCTCAGGGTGTATTTTTAACAGTCTACCCATCACTCCTCCTCAACCAGAACAGCTGGTATAGCAGCTATTGTTTTAGGAGAAAAAAGAAGGAAAGCAAAACACCTCCTAACGAACAAAATTCTGAACTAGCACTGGAATCTCCTAGGAATCAAATCTCTCTCCATACAATCTTGATCTTAATCAACCTTGTAAACCACATAATCTACCCCACACTGGGCAGTACCTTGCCTGGGCAACAGGAGAAAGCAACTCCTATCAGTACCATTCAGGGTTATTCGGAGATCTTTCCAAAAGTACATCTGATCCACCACCCCCATGCTCTGAACAATCCTCTGTGGCCACCTCTTGCCCAAAGCCAAAATGCCAACCCTTCAAAGAACCAGCCCTTCGAAATTCAGCCCTCACCTACCCTTCCAACCTCTAAGTCTACTCAACGTGCTCCACCTTCTGGTCCAACTTCCGATCATTTCCCAGGTGTGCCTAAAGCTCTAGACACAATGTTCAAATATGTGGAAAGCCATTTCTCACCCACTTAGCCTGGCGAACTCTGTATCCCCCAAGACCTCACCTTAAAGGAAACCCCTCCTACCTCCCCAGGGCAGGTCTCTGCCCCAAGTTTCCACACCACTTACAATGTTGTCATGTCAGGTGCACAGGTATCCATCTCCCCACTAGACTGAGAACCCCTAGGTGAAGAAACTGCCTTCCATCTTAAGATCCTGACCATGGTTCCAATCCAGATCCACATTTATGACCTGTGACACCCTGGGCAAGTCATGTCACCTTGACTCTATTTCTATTCCAATTTCAAAAGACGGCGATGACAGCATCCAACTCACTGGGTTCTCACCAGTACTAATAAGCTAACCATGTGAAGCGCTGTAACACTAACCCAAGAAAGTGCCTGGCACATAGAAGGCATTGAAGAATTGTTATTTGCCATTGCTATCAGTAGTATTACTACTGCTACGGTTATACCCGGAACAAAGCAGGTGTTCAGTATCTATTTGCTGAATAAATGGAGCACTTCACAACAAACCTGTTTGTAACATGTTAGGACCTCAGGTTCCCCCATCGCAGGTATCAAAGGCTGACAGAAGAGAAAGCTCCCACGGTGAAGGGACCGGCTGAACCTAACCCGCCCTGGAGGAAAAGCGCACTGCAGCAGGAGGAGAAAGTCCGTGCCAACCGGATCTGCCAGCGCTGCCCCATGGACCCAGCCTGCTCTTGGCCACCTGTCCTGCCACCTGCTTGAGGACGCAGGGTTCTAACGGGGAGAGCTCACCTGGAGCAAAAAACCGTAAGCAGTTTTCAATAGGAAGCACAATGGTAAAACAAACGGTGCAACTTTCCTCCTGCAAAAAAGGACGTGCGTCTTTATCTAATATTTAGCGTCCAGAGTTCTCCGTGGAGAGTTGGGTGCCAAGCGGGTGCGCGGTCCCAGCTTTCCAGAGAGAGACGGTCACCGAACTGGCATCCCTTCCTTCCCTTTTGGGATGAAGGGGTGAAGGGGTGATTCCCTCGCAGCCGGGTCCGAGAGGTCTCCTGAGGGCACCACAGGGAAGTCAGCAGGGCACTCGCAGAACACCATCCGACCGCTCCTGAGAAACGCTCAGAACCGGGGTTTGGGGACCGCGCAAGCCCGCGGGGCGCAGCCGCGAGTCCCCGTGTGGGACCCGCTCGGTGACACGAGCGCAGCCCCCTGCATCTAGGCCTGTTTCCTCCTTGTCCTCGTGGCCCACCTCGGCGCGCGTCCCCCGCCCAGCGCGCGACCCCCTGAGGCGCCCACCTGCGCGCCCCCAGCCCAGCCCTGCTGCCACCCGCCGCCCGTCGGGGGCCGCGCTCTCGGTCCGGGGCGCCGGCCCGTTACCGCGGCGGGGCGCGCTCGACCGGAGCGGTGACGCCCACAGGACCCTGGGCCGGGCCGAGCCGGGCCAGGCCTGGGCGGCCGCTCTGGCAGGGCCACGGGCCTCCGCCGGGGCTGCGGCGGCGTGAGGGGCGCGCGCCCGGGCCGCCGCGCCGCGGACTCACCTTCTGTCGGATCTGGCCCGACGTGGACACCTTGCGGATGAGCTTCTGCGGGGAGCCGGGCTCCGCCTCGGGCTCGCTGTCGGACGACTCCTCCGGCGGCGGCGGCGGAGGCGGTTGCGGCGGACCCGGCGGAGGGGCGCCCGCCGCCGCCGCCATGCTGCCGGGCCAGCGCGCGCACCGCGGGCGGGGGCGGGGCGGGGCCGGCGGGAGGGGCGGGGCCGAGGGCGGGCCGGGCCGGGGGCGGTGGGGGCGGCCTCCCGCCTCTCCCCGCCGCGCCCCCTGCCGGCGGTGCGCGCAGCTGCAGACGGAGGCGCCCGACCCCTCCCCGCCCCCACCTGAGGCGTCCCGGGGCCATCCCCACCCACCTCTGCGGGCCGTGGCTTCTGTGTGTTCTACCTGGGATGCTGTGTATGTTCTTCTGTTTCTGTGCTCACTTCTTAAAACATCTCTACTTTTCCCCCATCAGAATGTAGGTAACCCTTGGGAGCCCGGGTCCGCATCTGTCCAGCCCAGCCTTGCGTGGCCGAGTTTGGGGCGAGCTCGAATGCACACGCGCGTGCGGGAAAGAGACCCCGGTACTCGAACGGGCCTCGGGACGCCAGAACGGGGATGCAGCGCTGCATCTGGGAAGGCTTCCCTGAGAAAACGGTTGTTAAGAAGGGATGGAAAATGTGAGCTGGAGTTCTGACTAGGAAGAGATCAGATTTATGCAAAGGCCTGGAGGCAAGGAAGAACAAGTGTGGGGGGAGGGGAAGAAAGGGAAGCTGGTGCTTAGAGCAAGAAAAACGGCATTCAGATGTGAGCCTTGGGGCAGGCAGGTCAAAGCGGGCTTTGGAAGGCAGATAAGGGGTTGGAGGGCAGCAGGAGGCCCTTGAGGGATTTAACCCTGGGCGGGGCTGGGTCACCACGCTGGGGCTGGGATCTGGGCTTTGAAGTAATCAGGGCAGGTGGAAGCCCTGGATTACCGAGAGGCTGAGAGATAGATCCGTGGATTGAGATCCAGGTGGGGCGTGACCAGCGACTGAAGAAAGACACAGGTGACCAGAACGCGCCCCATGTTTCCCAGGGGGTGCTGCTGGATAGGGGGTGGGTGGGGTCCAGCCATGCTCAGAGCAGAAGAGGAGGAAGTGCCTCTGGAGATAAGATCCGCTGAGTTTTTGGTGCCATCCAGGTGGAGCAGGGCTTGGTGCCATCCAGGGGAAATGCTGTCCACCTGTCTGCCCTGCTCTGAGGGGCAAATCAGTAAGGGCTGCCCAGGTGTGCCCTCACCCCATCAAAGGGCTGCTGCTAGAGACCCTGCCTGCCAGTCAGCATGCGCTGGCCCCACCGCCCTGGGCAGTGAGCAGGGGCTGCAGAGTAACATCTGGCATGGGGAAACGGCCAGGGAAATGGCCTCACCGCTGGGACAGAGGAGGACAAGGCCTAAGACAGGAACAGTCTGGGACAGGCCAAAGGCCCCAGGGTGCACCAGAGTGCTATAGCCACTAGTCACACGTGGCTACTTAAACTTCAATTAGTTAAAATTAAGCATTCAGTTCCTCAGTCGCACGGGCCACATTTCAAGGGCTTAGTAGCTGCATGTGGCTTAGCAGCTGCCGCGCTGGATAGCACAAATATAGAACACTTCTTCCGTCCCCACAGAAAGTTCTGCAGCACACAAGGATAGTGACAGCTCCAGTCCCAGGCACCCGGCACATGCCAGATACTTGGCCAGCAATTCCAGTCCTCACCCAAGCCCCACAAAGCAGGCATGATGGTCTCATTCTGGAAAGGAAGCCCCTGAAGCCTGAGGTTCAGAGACCTCCCCCAAAGCGTGCCAGAGGCAGGATTTGAACCCAGACCATGTGATCCCCAAGCCCTTGGTGCTGCAGGGTTAGCTTACCCAGGAAGCTGAGCTCTGAAGAAGCTCATTGTAGGGAAGAGAAGAGAAAGGCACTGTTATGGCCAGGCGTGGCAGCTCGTGCCTATAATCCCAGCACTCTGGGAGGCCAAGTTGGGTGGATCACTTGAGGTCAGGAGTTCGAGACCAGCCTGACGAACATGTAGAAACCCCATCTCTACTAAAAATACAAAAATTAGCGGCGTGCAGTGGCTCACGCCTGCAATCTCAGCTACTTGGGAGGCTGAGGCAGGAGAATCGCTTGAACCGGAGAGGCAGAGGTTGCAGTGAGCCAAGATCATGCCACTGCACTCCAGCCTGGGCAACAGGAGCGAAACTCAATCTCAAAAAAAAAAAAAAAAAAAAAAGGCACTGTCACATGCTGAACTGTGTCCTCCTGTAATTCATATGTTGAAGTCCTAACCCCCAGGACCTCATCATGTGACTGTATTTGGAGTTAAGGTTTTCAAAAAGGTAATGAAATTAAAATGAGGTCTCGGGGCTGGTCCCTAATTTAGTATGACTGGCGTCCTCGTAAGAAGAGGAGATGAGGACACAGATGCGCACTGAGGGCAGCCCCTGTGAAGGCACAGGGAGAAGATGGCAGCTACAAGCCAGGGAGAGAGGCCTCGGATGGAACCCCGGCTGCCAACACCGAGATCGTGGACTTCCAGCCACGGGAACTGAGAGTGTCAATTCCTGTAACGGAAGCAGCCCAGCCTGTGATGCTGTGCTCTGGCAGCCCTGGGAAACTCATGCAGGTGCCAAGGGCTTGGGCCTCCCCACAGAGTTGGGACTCTTGTATCCGCTACCTACACGTGGAGTGATACACAGAGGCATACCCCTGGGGGTGTGCAAAGCGTAGGAGGGGTGGGGAGGCACAGGGGAAGAAAGAGTTCATTCCTTGGGGGAGCCAGGTGACCTGAGCGGGGTTTGGGATTGGAATGGAGAGGCCATATGTGAAGGGAGCTTCCCAGGAAAACACAAAAAGGGGGAGTCTACCCCCTACCAGGTGAGCAGAGAGGGCGATGAGGGATTTAGGTGAAGCCGGTGGCAAGGTGGTTGCAGCAGGGAGGTGAGCAGCCACGCCAGGACGAAGAGCAGCCTCTGTGTCCTGCTCTGGGGCAAGGCCTTCAATCCCATGGACACTGGAGCTGCCAAGGGGGTTTTGGAAAGCAGAGGAACTCATGTTTCTGGGCAGAAAATGACCGAGAGGAGAAAAAACTAGAAACAGGGAGACCATTAAAATGCTGTTGCCTGCACCTGTTAGGAGCTCAGGGGACATCTGGGCTCCAGAACTCATCATTGTTGAGGCAAGAAGGCAAGGGCATGAACGTGACGGTTAAGAAGCAGAAACCATGGCTGGAGAGGAGGAAATCTGCAGTTACCAGAAAGTACTGAGATTGTCACAGCCAAGAGGAGCCAAGGAGACATGATGACTAAACGTCACATGGAATCCCAGAACAGAAAAAGGACATTAGGTAAAAGCTGAGGAAATCGGAATTCAGTATGGGGCATTAGTTTAATAGTAGTGTGTCAATACTGATTCCCGGTGGGAGGAGGGTGAGGAAGGAAGAACATCCTAGTGGAGATTAGTATGCTGATTACCTCGGTGACAAAAGTGTGTGTACACCAGACCCGCATGACATGCAATTTACCCATGTAACAAACCTACACATGGACCTACCTGCCCCCTGGACCTAAATTAATCATAGAAATATATGTCTATTTTACTGGAAACAAAATTTGAGTCATTCAGTGTGGCAAATGTGCCCTAGTAATGCAAAACGCTAATAATATGGGCTTCTGGATGTGGAGTGCCTCAATATAACATCTTTGCAACTTTTCTGTAAATCTAAAACTATTCCAAATAAAAAGTGTATTTAAAAAAAAAAAAAAAAAGAAGATTAGGTTTGGTAAGAATGATGTTCTTAAAGAAAACTCCAGCATAAACGTTGTTTGATGATGAAGCCGCTTTTTTGTTCTCGAGGTGAGCGCGAAGTGCGGTTCCCCTGGAGATCTCAGGAAGGGCTGAGACATCAACTCCCCCAAAGCAGCGGCCTGGAAGAGCACATTCCCTCCGGTGCCTCTTTATTGAATGAGTCATGCTATGAATCATCTCTAATGACAGTCTGCTCCCTGAGCTTACCCCACCTTGAGGGCATATCAAGGTGGCAGTAATAACACACTTCACGTCCAACCTAATCCTTCTTCGTGACATGTCAGTGAAGAGGTGCAACTCTTGTCAGAAAGAACCGCTTCACACTGGAGAATATAAACGGGAAACTTGAAAACATGGGAATCATCCAATTTTTACCCTGAACTAGGGTCATGATTGACATTTGAAGCAGGACATTTCTCCACTGCATGTGACATATAGCTTCTGGTCCCCAAGCATGTGAAAACCAAAAACCACCACACACATTTCCAAACGTCCCCAACTCCTACCTCCCACCTGCCCTACTCCTCGAAGATCAGTAATTGCGACTCAGTCCTGTGAAATTAAACTGGAAGACAGTTGTTTTAAATGTTAAAGGAGGAGGAAAACAGACACCCTAGAAAGAAATTAACCACACATGTGACAAAATTGTAGAGAACTAAATCCACACACTAGTACAAGTCCGGTTGTGGAGATCTGAGTCAGATGGGTAGACTGCACCCATGTTGATACCCCGGTGTGATATCATACTTGTAGCTTTACACAATGTGGCCACTGGAGGAAATTAGGTAAAGGGTTCCTAGGTTCTCTCTGTATTACTCCTTACACTTGCATGTGAATCTGCAATTATCTCAATGAAAATTTACTTTGGGAGGCTGAGGCAGGTGGATCACAAGGTCAGGGGTTTGAGACCATCCTGACCAACATGGTGAAACCTTGTCTCTACTTTAAAAAAGAAAAGAAGGCCGGGCGCGGTGGCTCAAGCCTGTAATCCCAGCACTTTGGGAGGCCGAGGCGGGTGGATCACGAGGTCAAGAGATCGAGACCATCCTGGTCAACATGGTGAAACCCCGTCT